CCCAAAAACAGAGCCGCCCCCCCCCCCCCCCCCCCCGCCCCCGGACCAATCCCCTAATTTTACAGCCCTAATGAATGAATCCCATCCGACCAGCTCTGCTGCTCAACCACAGTGTTGACTATTATCGATAAAAATCCGGCGTGACACACTGATGAAAGAGATGTGACTCATGTAGTAAGACCTGAGTCAGTGAATAAGGAACTGACTAAAAGTCAACTTGTGCAAACTGCTGTGACTGCTGAATTTGACTTGACCAGATGTTCAGCAAACATTTCTTTCAGCTACTTTAAATTCAGGTTTAAACATGAAGGTTTCCTTCTGACTGACCTGGGAGGAATAATGGGAATGTGAGACGAATATATCAGGGTGATCTCATATGTGTCAGTGTGTGTATGCACACAGAAAAGAATCGGGGGAAGGAGTTCAAGGTCAAAGCACATTTCCTATCACAGCAGAATGTTACTCCCTGGAGGACGAAGCAGGCCTTTGCCTCTTTAGGCCATAAGGTGAACCCTATTATCATCTCACTCCGACGTTTGCGGACTACATGATCTTAATTTCATAAAAAAGAACGAGTTATGTTAAATGTACACAAGTTTAACGCAACACTCCTGTGCAGCAAAAACACCATTGTGTCACATTCTTCAAGATCACACTGCAGGTCTTCAACAGCATGGACAGATTGTACACCCTCCATTACAATCACATTGATCCCTGTGTGTTATGTACAAGCTGAGGTCTTTGCCCACTCCTGTAAGGTATATTTGTCCTTTTTTTGCATATTATGCACAGGGCAGGAAGGATGGGGCCAGAGCTCGCGATGGGCAGGCCTGACCTGGGTCTAAGTTTCTTTGTCGGACATGGAGTCGTCCTGCTCGATGTTGATGGGATGGCCTCACTTCTTGAGCGGTCTTCCGTATCCTCCCTCTCTCTCTCACGCTCGAGACGCCTTTTCACTTTTGCAATTGCAATCTTGTTGATAAACCTCCGGTAGCATGTGGGATGGAAAGCAGCGTTCTCGGGAATGCTTTCAAACTCTAAATCCAGGCAGTGTTTGTAGTTTTCAGCTACGTATCGACACTCACCCCTCAACCCGAGCCATCGTTGTCGACTCTTCTTGTGCGTATTCCACCGTGAGAGTGTGAAATCCTGTCTTTTTTTGTGCTTCACAGAGGCTATGTGCATATTGCATAGGTTATGTCCTGAAGGTTTTGTTATTTTACTAATTTCTCATTTTTTACTCATTCTTCTTCGGTAATGCTAGATGAAACTCCGCAGGCAGCCATCTTGCTTTTCTGTTTACCAAAAGCTGCTACCCTATTGGTGTAGTCCCGTCACGTGTCGAACCTGCCACAGCTCGTGCACCAAAATTTTATTGCGCCCTGAAGACGCTAGTTCTGTATAAAATGCCTCGTTATGAAAAAATGGGCAGGATTTTTTTAAAGCTGAACATAACTCCTTTTTATGAACTAAAGATTGTGTAGTTCCCAGACGTCGGAGCGGAATTAAATTTCTGAAAGACTTTTCGTGGGTCACCTTACGGCCTACTTCTCTCTCTTTATTTTGTAATCGTCAAAAATCTCCTTCAAGCATCTGCCCTTAAAACACAAATGAGCGATGTGGGAAAACTCATGCTTAAACCATGCCTGGAGCAAGGTCAGGGAAGTGTTATCAGTGGATTTCAGGCTTCATTTAGAGATTTTTACTGTATTAAAAATGACATCTGGCCAAGGTTGACTTAATTCAGTGACAATGTAGGAAATGTTCGTTGTTAAACATAGCAGTAAAAACACAAACTCAGTGGCGCTCAAAGTGATAGTACTGTTAAAGAAACAACTCTGGCCTCTGAACCTCACTCGGTCACTTTCACCATTTCTTCTCTGAGCCACTGTGAGGATAGAGACAATTTGATTTATGACACAAAGGAATTGTGTTATTCTCCATCCAAACACTGCAGAGACTGGAGGTCATCTTTTCAACACAGGGCTGCTTATTATGACCCTGCACAGGCTGCAAGGAGGAGTGTGTCTGTAATGTTTTGTTGTTGTTGTTGTTGTTTTTTTAACTTCTGCATGTGTCAACAGTGACCAAACAAAACAAACTCAAGGCCCAACATGATCTTTTCCCTGTAGTTTATCAATATTTTTATTACTATTTTATACTTTCACTACCCGGCAAATAATAACTGAAGAGAAATAATTTTCTGTATAATCTCTCCATGAAAAACTGATTAGCACCAGACAGACCGGAGCAGTGGGCTTGTTGTTTGCTCAATACTTCGTGGACTGGCTAGGGCTGGGATTCAAACCCTCAGTCCTCCCATTACAAACTCAATCTTCTCACCACTAGGCGATGTGCTACCCGTGAATTTCTATTTGGACTACAGATAATAGTTGTGATGTGTGTGTGCCCAAATTAACAGAAACATTTTTTTTCCTGGTTTCTCCATTATATTCTTGAACATGAAAGATTCCAAATCCTAATCCAAAACTCAGACTGATCAACGCCAGTGTAGTCTGTGCACCACAGACCTCTGACGGTTTCTGTTCCATTTACTTTTAAGCAAACATTTGGAAAAGCTTGTTTTTCAAATTAATGGATCATTATAATAAAATACAATAGATTAGTAACTTTGGTTGCTTCCTGTATTTGGAGCAAGTAGAAGAAAGAAAAAGATTTTATTGGTCACTGGACATTTTTACATACACATAGACATACTGTACTTTCAGCCCAACCGTGAAAAAGCCTGAGGAGCGAGGGAGTTTTCAGTGCCTACGCCTGTTCCCTTGACCACAAGCCAAGAGCCAGCCTGAAATGCCATTCAACTGCAATAACTTGTAAAAATGTTCATTGGTATTCTGTAGGGTTAACACTTAGCTAAGTGCTAAACAGTGCTAAAGCTAAGCTTCTTTTTTCACTAGTAAAACCCTCGTTTGTTTTTCTGTCTTTTGCTGCAAACAGTTAAATTGAAAATAATAACATCAGAATGAATAACGCACAAGAAAAATAGTAAAGTAGCACTGGTGGCCCCAGATAAATGACTTAAAAAACTACTACGTCTGAGAAGCCATTCCTTCAGAAACTTTTTTTTCACAGCAGTGTTGACCTGTTAACAACAGTCCAATCCTTAAAATTCAAGTAACTGTGAATGTTTCATCATGGATATGGATATAAAAGATCAACAAAGCTTTTTATTTTCTCAGTCTCAGTTCATTCTAGAATCCAGGGGTTCGTTTCTTGAAGCGGACTTAGAGTTAATTAACTCAGTATTAGAGGGAACTCTGACTTTCCAGTTTCACGAAGCAGGCTAGACCGTGACGCTGACTCGGTTGCTATGACCACATATGCCTTGGAGCAAACCTGCTCCGTAGCAGTTTTAAGGTCCTTAAGTCTGAGTTAAGTAGTCAGTCCATAATCATATGCAGGGCGTGGCCGTTTGTTGAGGAGCCTGTGGACATCAAAGTT